CCGATTCTCGAGGCCTCGGCGATACAGAAATATTATGTGTACAAGGTGAAACATCCGATGAGGCATAATCGCTGCTGGTAGTTGCAAGGTGATCCATGCAAGAGACAGTTACAGGGGCTGTTAGTGGAGCTGATGATGTTGTACTATAGTCGGAGGTGAGGGATAATGCATCAGTAGAAGAAAATTCTTCGCCACCTCTTCGAGGGTTTTTCGTCTAAAAGACAGTTTGATACTACTGGTTAAATACTGCGAAGAAAAATTTAACACTTGTTCCTGTACAGCCAGTTTAAGATATGTTAAATAAGAAAAAAGCAAAAAATGTAAAAGCACAAAATAAAGTTTTCTTCGGTACTTATCAACCAATTTAACACTTGAACAGAAGGCATTTTGTGCAATTAGCTGATGCAATAAAGATAACGCATGCAAAGAAAAAACTTACTTGGCTAACAGATTCTTCACTACAAAAAGTGTCACCGATCCTGTAGGTTCTTTTTGAAGCATCTGCCTCACGCCTTTCACTTGCCGTTGTAAACCATCCTTGTAGCTGTTGCATTTTTCGAATTTTTTCCCGGGTTTCTGCACTCAAAACTTCTAAAGCAGGTGACGAGGCTAGATTTAAGTGTCTGGTATGGCTAACAAGATCATCTAGGTCAACACCTGTAGGGTTGACATCTAACGGATCAGCATCTGTTCCGGCGATAAAAATCCGTCTAGCAGAATAGATTTCCTGCAAAGATGTTTTAAATATCAAATATTTGCAGAAACCGTGGGACAATACTTTGAATATTTTTCTGCGATTAGAATACAGCACTCAAAGCTTATTCATTAGCAGCGCAAAAATAATAACCGTTTAAAATCTTAACCATCACAACAACTAACCTGCTGCCGTTTTTTCCTCATTGCATCAGCATCAGCATAAGACTCACTGCGCACAGTAGCATCAATACGAGATATTGTTTGCTGACTAGATTCGGTAACGGAACCTAAGGAGGAACCTAAGCTTGGCGAATGACCTAGAGATGAACTTGTCGCGCAGGACAGTTCGGTTTTAATGCTTTGACCACGTGATGCAATTTCAGCATCGATATCACGCTCCTAAATTAACTTTCCAACAATTAACTCAGTAAATAACTACATAAAAAACTAATTCATATCCATCGCAGTGAAACAACTCCAAAATACTTTTTCAAGCTACAAAACTGCTCAGCTTTCCGAAGCGCTTAATAAAACGAACAGTGATGGCAGCTCCAAACAGTGTTCAATTTATATAAAATTCTAAAAACCTTATATGTCCAAGACGCTTACTGCCAAAACGATAAATAATTCGTCAAATAATACCTGGTAAACGTTTTTCGGATTCCGATCTTTCTCAGAAATTTTTCTAGCCGAACCCGTGTTTGGTGGTTCATGAGAACTAGATGTAGCATGAACCGAATGGTCTCGTTTCCTAGACTTCTCTTTTCTTGAGTTCCGTCGTACATTTAATATTTGTTTAATCTACAATACTAAGCTCAGAACTAAAAATGAGAGTGTCATGACTACAAAGAAAACCCAATGTAAATAAAAAAGCAAAAAATATTCTTGTAAACTAATTTCTTAAAATCTCAAAAAGTCTTACTTTGCCCCCTCGTTGAGCATCCATTAGTGCGATTGCTTCAGCTTCATTAACCCTCCTCAACAAATTATGCATATCGTTCAGTGAGGTTGTGGTGAAACTACTTTGAGAGCCACCATCAAAATCAGCTGAACCAGATTTTCCACCGGCACCGAAAGAATTTGCGGCATCAGAAGCGGTGATAACAGGGCTTGGAACCTCGTCGTTGGCACCACTGGCCTCATTAAACATCCATTCGAACTAAATCGACCTATTAATCACAAAGTCCCAACACTTTAAAACTATTAAGAAGAAAATTACCACGCAGTTTTCATAATAATCCAAAACTTCTATAAATGCTCCAGCCAACCTAGTAGCTTTAAAATTTTTTTTTTTTGAAAGTAAGGCAGTCACCGTTTTGCCAGTATCTTCCATTGTTACAGACACGTGAAAAAAAATTTAAAAAAAAGGGAGAAAAATATATTACATAAGTTATAAACGTCTCAATAATTCTGCACTGGTCAGACATGTGAGTGACCATAGTCGCCATATTATCATCGCTGGGTCTAACAATTGACGGACCAAACATAAGAGCCAAATTACGCGTTTCCATCTAAAAAACTTCAGAAATGTAAGGTCACTAACTCATCTTTTTCTTAAACAAAATAATGTCCACGAGACAGCCCTTTTCTTCAAAAACTTTTCGGTTTTTCCTAACAAATTGATAAACGATACCTTATTAACGCCGCTGTGGGAACTGACAACAAGAAGATGGTGCATTAGGTATTTTAATGTAGCATAATGATCAGCAGGCAATTTACGCACCTTAAATACACTATCATTAAGAACAAAAAAAAAAATACATGCTATGAAACGTCTAATAAAATAAGATTAAGAAATTGTCAGTAATAAATGAAAATAGCGATGAAGAAGGTGAATATTTACTAGGTTTCTTAATTTATGAAGCCTTTGCGGATGACCGGCAATACGATTTGCATCTATAAAAAAAGGATAAAGCTTGTCTGTCAGCAGAGGCTCCGGAAGCTTTCTCAAAAACATTTTCAACAAACTGCTTACAACGTTCACATCCCTCCAACGTGGATCTTTAAAATCGATCTGGAAATTTTAAACAACTTTGCAATTTTTAAAAAACCAATAGAAGTAACCTCTGGTGTGTTGAAGAAGAGTAAGACATTTTAAAATTTTAAAAAAAAGTTTCAATCAAAAAGCATTGAAAAGACATTTGAAGACAGGAGGATATCCCCACATTCTCTAAGCCCAAGTTTAGATTTTCCTTCAGCGCATTGACAGCAGCGGTATTTCCCGGTATACGATAAATACCAACTGTGTCCATCCCATGAGCTTCAACGACACCTACGCACAGCTTCATCAGCAGTGGAACCAACTAAACAAGGATATGTTTTATACTTTTAAAACAGTATAACTGTTTACAATTAAAAATCAAAACGTACGTCGCCTTCACCAGTAGTGGGATAATCTCCGATCTTACGGCCTAATGCAGATGCTCCTTGAGATGCGCCTTTATCCGGCCTACTACTACTTAAGGTCAACGACTGTTTTGCAGCTCGTGATTTTTTCCATTTTCGTGCGGGTTTTGGGGTGCTTGAAGGGATATTTTCATTGGCTGAAAAATCAAAAACTTTAATCTGCATCTATAGCCATTGTCCAATTTTATAATGACCACATAAATACTTAATCGTAGCCGCGCTACTTAAATGCTCACACTGATTAGTGCTGGTACTAGCTCCTTCATTGATTGAGCCAGCTGTCGATCCTGAAGCAGTAGAAGATGTACCCGGTTGTTCAAAATGTTCTGCCACCACTTCTGCTGCTTGACTTCTCTTGTTAGATGCAATTGGAGACCCCAACTGAGTAGACTTTGCTTTATATCTATAAAAAAAAAAAATGTTAAAGAAAATGCCTCAAAACTTGTTCTATAACTGCCCTTCAGAACTTTCACAATTGAGGGATTTTTCAGCCGATCTTAAAGCAAGATATATAAACAAATCAGGAATTGGAACTGCAGTCAATTTCTTGTCCATAAAAGTCAATCAAACAAAAAAAACCTATGCATAATCAGCTTTGTTGTTGCGTCATCGGAGAACGTATTTGTGTCATGTCCATTGCAGGATGAAGTACCGGATCGTGTCCCCCTTGCAGCAGAACTGTTTCCGAAACTATCGTAAGTTGACTGCCTTTTGATCAGCTCCTTTTCGCCAGCTTCTACTCCTCCCACCTACAATGGAAAATAATAAACAAATTTGAAGCAAATTGAAATATGCCAAAAAAAAAAAAAA